CCCCAAAACCCCAAAACCCCAAAACCCCAAAACCCCAAAACCCCGACACCTCTGAGTCAAATTGAAAATCCTTATTCATGAATTTTAAGTCAATTTTGTACTGGAGAGCTGCAGAATTAGGTATAGTTTATTGGATGGATGATCTTGGAACATTTATTAATTTTGTATTTTGAGTATCCTTGTTAATACTACTGCTGAAAGCTTTATTACCACTTTGTTGGTGGGGAAATGAAGAAAGATGAGGTCTAGCTGGGAACTTTTTGTGTGTGTTAAATAAGAGTTTTTGGGAAGAAGAAGGGCGAATTCTACTTAGACTTGGCCTTAACTAAAACTTTTTGTCTTTTCTTCTGGCTCTATTCCAAGTCACACCAAAACCTTACTGAAAGACCTTGAATTCCTGATCGGAGAGAGTCAATGCTCTGCTTCTGAGCCGACCCTTCAGTATGGCTAAAATGTAGTTTTGTAGTATGGCTCTGGGAGTTACGAGCTAGAGGTCAAAGGAAAAAGTACCCTGTGCCCTGTCCTTTATGTTCTTTATACTCATTTTTGTCCCTCCGTAGTGGAACTTAGAGTCAAGCCGATGAGCTGAAGCGCCTAGTTTGAGGAATTTACTTGGACTTGGTTTAAGAGGAATTTTTCATGAGATGTGACTTTGAGTTGAAGAATGGCCCAAGATTTGGGGAGTCCTTATGAATGAATCCACTATGTTCTTATTTGGAAGCTATTGTTCTTGATTGTTTATACTCAAAAGGCAAGGTATTCCTGGATCTCGTATGGCTCGTTTTCAAGCTCTTGTTATAAATCCCTAGTTTCTTTGATTTGAACTTAGACTTTAAATACTTCTTTCTATTGGCAGATTTATTTCGACAATCTAAATTCAATATTTCTGTGCTGTCGGTATGCTTAGAATTATTCCTCTCTCAGTTAAGATGTATAGATTTCTTGTTGCTAATAAACCCTTTGAATTTGGTATCGAATGACCTGATTTTATTGATCATTGCTTTATCTACTTTCTTTTCAGAACCTAAATAAAATTAGCACATCATCTCAGAAATCTTCAATTAAAATCTTACCTAGGCTGCTATCTTCCTTAGTCTTGTTGAATTTGCTAAGAAGATTCTTGCTAGAATTTGTGTTGATTAGTTTATAACTCCGCTCTTTATTAGAGCTCATCCTTTTATCTGAGATCTGTTGAGAGGTTTTAATAAAAGCAGAGAGACTCTTTGTGCCATTATTCCTAATCTTCCTAGATATTGGTGTTTTCTTTTGTACCAACTCAGTCGTGTTTCCGTTTTTATGAACCTTAGGGTTCCTTTTTATAGGTATTTCTAAATCTCCGAGGTTAAAAGAACCTATTGAATTATTATGAATATCCTACAATCTTTGAGTGTCCCTGCTACTGAAGAGAAAGTATTAGAGCTACTGTCTTTACTCTCATTTTGCCTTTCAGCTATAGAGATGAGTGATATATTTCTTAAAGACTGTTTGCACAACTTTTCTTTAACTTTGAAAGTCAAGGGAAGATCAGTCTTGAGGTAAATAAAAAGAGTGAAATTTTATGCAAAAATGGTTGCTTACACTGAGAAAGACCGCCATTTACTGAGGAATTTGTGACGAAATCGGAATCACTCTCGCCAATGTCCTTGGTATCCGCTTTTGAGCAGAACTTCTGCAGGATGCTGTAGTTCTCTAGCAGATTTATGTTCTAACGAGTAAATGGGGATGTCTTACTATTTCTATGGACCCTTCAGGTCCTCTTTTCTCTTTGGAATTATTAGAAAATCCTTTTTTGCCCTAGATAAAGAGGGTAAAAAGCATAGTTTGCAAGGATGTACTTACCCAAGGGATCTTCTTCTTTCAGATAATAGTCCTGTTGATATCTTGCGAGTCTACTTTTTGAGATGAGGAATTCATTTATGGTAAAATATTTCAGTTTATAAAATAGTTTTTGGGGTTTTGGGGTTTTGGGGTTTTGGGGTTTTGGGGTTTTGGGG